AATATTAAAATAATATCATAATGAATTAATGATGTTCATTAATTCATGTTATGATATCATTACGACTTAATTATGACTGTGTTCTACCCGAGATTGGACGGGACTGCGCGAAAATAAATATTTTACTCGCGACAGACCCGAACTTTCCAAAATACGATTTCAAAATTTTTCCATGTGCGATCCGTGAAATCACATATTTTTATAAAAAAAGATGCCTCACCAATGCGACTCCTGGATCGGTGATAGCACTCGATGACTCGTTTCTTGATAGCAATAAAGAAATGGAATCAGCAATTTATCTCACAAGTATGACCACCTTTGTTCTCTCACAAGTATGACCAGCTTCGAGGACGACCGCAATGCAAATGCTGGTTGAAAATTCTGGAGAAGATACATGTCGTCCCTACTTTTTCTTTCTGTTTCTTTTTCAGAATGATTTACCCTTAGAATATATATAAATAGAAGGGGCATAGGGCGCTGAGCGTGAAGCCACATCTGTGCGAGAGAGAAAGGTAGTAAGGGATAAATGTTCACAATGCGCATGCGCAGCACCGTCATCTGTGTGAATTGTGCAGTTGGTAAGTGGTTTTACACATTCGTATGTACATTACATATAGATGTGTAAAACATGATGCTGCGCATGCGCATTGGGAACATTTATTCCTTACTACCTTTCTCTCTCGCACAGATGTTTGCATCAGCGCGGGCCATGGGAAATATAGTCAATGCCGCTTCCATTTATATATCTTCTAAGACTGGTTCCTTCCACCATGAGCTGTTTATCCATGGCGCGAAAAGTGCACGAAGGTGCAACCCAACCAGGAACAACAAGTACAATATGGGGCTCCGCACAATAAAAGGAACAGGGAACAGGGCCCCTATTCCGTAAAGCCGGGAGCACATAGAAAAACGTAAGTCCGTAAGACGTAATCAGTAAAGCCCATGACACATATAATCCCGGATCTACAATAGGGTTTTAAGCCTTAAGCCATAAGAAATGGGCGAATCGCAGTCGCTTATTCTTCTCGGATTCGTCTGTAATTGGTCAGTTTCTTACGGCATAAAACACCTATTGTAGATCCGGACTAAGAACGTAAGGCCGTAGCACACAAGCAGTAAGTTAATTGGCCAATCACAGCAGAGACCGTAAGGCCAATAGCGAATCCAATGTTACGATTTCCTTACTGATTACGCCTTACGGCCTTACGTTTTTCTATGTGTTCCCGGCTTAAGAAAATCGTAACATTGGATTCGCTACTGGCCTTACGGTCTCTGCTGTGATTGGTCAATTCACTTACTGCTTGCGTGTTACGGCCTTACGTTCTTGTATGTGTCATGGGCTTAAAGCCGGGAGCATATAGAAAAACGTAAGTCCGTAAGAAGTAATCAGTAAGGAAATCATAACATTGGATTCGCTACTGGCCTTACGGTCTCTACTGTGATTGGTCAATTCACTTACTGCTTGCGTGTTACGACCTTACGTTCTTGTATGTGTCATGGGCTGAACTGTTTTACACGCCTACCGACATTTGTCGGTGTCGTTGCGCAGCTTTTTCACTATATAAAATAGCTGCGCACCGACACCGACAACTATCGGTAGGCGTGTAAAGACAGTTACAGAATAGGGGCTCAGGAAACAGAGAACAGAGAATAAGAATTTCAACCTATCAGAAATCATGTATTGTGGAATACACAGTGTGTGAATTTCTGATAGGTTGAAATTTTTATTCTGTGTTCTCTGTTTCCTTTTATTGTGCGGAACCCCTTTTTCTCTGTTTCTGTTCCTTTTATTGTGCGGAGCCCCTATCACTGCGGCGGTGGCTGCTCCTGGCGTGTGAAGTTAGTCGCGCGACTTTCTAATAACTGCTCTGCCACTCGTGAGTTGTAAGAACCAATCACTCGGACAGCAAACTGCGTTCTGAAACCCATCGAAGAAAAAGTGTTGCAACCTTTTAGTAACTGACCATACGTCCCGAAACTAACTACAAGAAACAAAATATATAAATTCTTTTTGGTTTGTAACGATTTATGCAGCGCAATTACCATATTTTTCTGTAGTTTTGGGTAAATAATTTTTAAACGAGTAAATGTATCTAAATAAACTTTTTCACGAATATTTATTGAAGTTTTATTAATGTATAAAGAATTTGATGTTATTCAGAATGCGACTTCCTCATCAAATTTGTAAATAAATACTACAGAGCATGATTTTACATAAGAATGAAGATAAACAAAAAATTAATTAATTTTTAAACTAATAAGAAAATTGTGTTTAAATTTTACACATATACTTTTAAATGTAATAATAGAATAATCTATATTTTTATATTTTTAGTAATGCTTCGAGTTGATACATTACGTTTATTTTTAAATACATACGTATGCAATACGTGATAAATTAAATTTGAATATCGTCACTTTGGCAAAAAATCTTGTTAAATATGTCTTTATGTGTCATAATTTTTATATATTTATACTTTCCGTATATTTCTATAAATATACAGTTGCATGCAAAAGTGTCCGGCCAAAGATATTTTTATGATTATTAACGTAGAAAAGGTACAAAATAAAAACACAAATATACCATCATAAAGTATCTTTATTATGCAATCAAAACATACAACTCAAAAATTATTCCTAACAATTTAGAATTTTTTGTAACAAAAATAACAATTATGGCTTTTCCATAATTATCCGGCCAAGTACAAATTATACACTAAATAAAGAGAAAAACGCGGTAATTCAAGAACAAAGTTTTATATGTCAATAAATGCAACATTTTCATCAATACTTAGTAGCCATACCCTTCGAAGCTATCACGACGGCACATCGGTAAGGCATTGATTCGATAAGTTTGACGATTTTGTCTTGAGAAATATCTTTCCACTCTTTTTGGACTTTTTCCCACAAAGCAGTTTTGTTGGCACAATTTTCAGTTCCTATTCTTAGTTTTAACTCTTGCCATAAATGTTCTATAGGATTTAAGTCAGGAGATTGACTTGGCCACTCTAAAACTCGGATTTTTTGCTTGCTAAAAAACTCCTGAAGGAGGCGAAGGAGCTGTGCTCGATGTTTCGGGTCATTGTCCTGTTGAAAAATCCATCCTTGTGGCAAATTCTGACAAGCATAAGGTAGCATTTGTTCCAACAGAATATTTCTATACATAGCAGAATCCATAGTGCCTTCAATTTTAAATATTGGACCGACGCCTTTCCAAGAAAATGCACCCCAAAGCATAATGCTACCTCCACCGTGCTTCACAGTTGGTATTTGATATCGCGAATCATTTCTAGTGCCTTTTGGTCGTTGAACGTACCGTCTACCATCATTTCCAAACAAATTAATTTTAGTTTCATCTGAAAACATGACTTTCGTCCAATCTTCAACAGTCCAGCTACCGTGTTTTTTTGCAAATTCTAATCTGGCCTTCTTATTTTTTTTGCTAATAAGCGGTTTCTGAACTCCAACGCGTCCAAAAAGTCCCACTTCTTTCAATCTGCGTGAAACCGTACTTTGACTTATGTCAGCCAATTTTTCTTCACGTAACTCGCGTGCGATGACCGCGGCATTCTTTTTCACATCTACGACAGCCTTTCTCTTAATCACTTTATCGACACGATTAGTAGTTTTTCTTGGCCTCCCAGGGCAGGGTTTATCTTTTAGAGCACCTGTAGTCTTGAATTTATTTATTATATCGTTAACAGTCGATTTACCTAATTCCAAAACATCAGCTATTTCACGTGAAACTTTTCCTTCGTTGTGAAACTTGATCACCAATTTACGTATGTCTAAAGACGTGCGTTTCGACATTTTGACTGAGTATAACTGATCGAATAATAGAAAAGAAATGTGCTCTTAATGTTTACATATCTTCGTGACCGATAACGTAAACAAAGCCGTGCAAATTATACGTTCTTGGAATTTGGCTGAACAATTATGAAGAAGCAAAATGTGTTATTTTAGTTGTAAATACGTGTTAATCGTTATAAACAATTTTTTAATTATGCATTTTAATTACATGCCAAAAGTACTTTATGATGATATATTTGTGTTTTTATTTTATACCCTTTCTACGTTAATAATCATAAAAATATCTTTGGCCGGACACTTTTGCGCGCAGGCAACTGTATATGTACCGCTCATTTTGTTCCATGTGCTATTTATTACTTGTACATTTTAAATTAATTTAAGTCAATTAATTTTATAACAGAATTTAAATTACTTACTTTTTTGATTTTAATTATTATTTATTATATATATAGAGATTTGGCGGAAAACTTTTTTATTTGAGAAATTCTATAGAATTTCTACCTCTCTAAAAACAAGACTCTCTTTCAAAAATTTTATCAAAAATTAATTTAGAAGTCAAATTAGAAAATTTAACGTGATTATTTTACAAAATAGCTTGCAATTGTAAACTTTTCGGCGCTCTTATTGATAAGAATTAGGATTTCATATTTGTATTTTGCAGATCGACAAAGTTATAACTTTCTTACGTTGCATCGTATGTGTCCAACCACCAATAAGTGTCAAATTATCTTTATTTTAAATCAAAGCAATTTTAATTATTTAAAGTTTGTAATAATATTCATATATGAAGTATATGTAAAATATATATAAATATATGTACAAATGTGTTATACATTAAAAAGATACAAGTAAATAAAACATTTTATAGGTCCATTGCTTTAAAATCGACGGGTTAGAACAGCTTAATATTTAATTTTAGCTATAACAAATATATAAGTAAACATTTTTTAATTTGCCTATATTATTGTATATAAAGGAAAAAGATAGGAAACGTTCTAGAGACCGCGTTTTTTGTTTAAAAAAACATTAATTTTTTAAATTATTAATTGCATTTGTTTTCTCTTAGAACATAATCATTTTATGGACATATTCCAAATCTTTCATAGCCAATCTGTTCATATCGTTTTATCGATTAGAATCGTAACTGTACAAAATGATTAATTAAGCGATGGCACCGTCAATACGACGAAAAGTTTGTTAAAGGAGCATTTCTATTATTTCTAAAAGTGTCTTAGTGGCCAAAAAATCATCGGCCTTCTTTGTGACAAGTTCAACAATCTTGCTTGTAACCATTTCACTGCCTATTAACTCAGGTGCTATATCGGAAATCAGAGCACTCAATATTGCAGATGTTTCTTCGTCCTTAAAGAGGCCTGTCGCTTGAAACTGCAAATAATAGATGAAAGTGTTAGTCAGCAATTGAAAGAGGAAAAAAAGAAATGCGAGAGTAGATGATGATCAGAATTAATGACAATCGAATTATTCGAATACGAATCGAATTTTACTTAACTCGATTTGATTTGTATTCAAATAATTCGCACTCTGAAATTTTTATTTCATTCAACGATATAATTGCGAAGATTGCCAGAAGAAGAAAGAAAGATAGATTTCTGTTTACTTACATCTAGCTTCTGTAAAGAAAGCTCCAAATTTATGTTCTTTATTTTCAAGTATGAGGTCAAACTACCGTCCCATAAGAAAGTAACTGTCGTGTTGAGAACGAAATTTTGCACAGACAGTCTAAAAATTGAATACGCAGTATATTATCAACTTTAATATTTTGAACAATTTGGATACTTTAAATGAAGATATGTAGAAATGTTTATTTTAATTATAACGGAGGTATATTTATTGATAAAATAAGTGGAAAATATTATACCTTATATAAAGAATTTGTTATTTAAAAGTCTTAAAATTAATTAATTTAAAATTCTTAAAATTAATTAATTTAAAATTCTTAAAATTAATCAATCAAGAGAAATAATCCTATTTTCAGTTAAAGCGCTCTGGAAGTGATATTTTTTGGAATAAATTATTTACAGATTTACAGATTTTTAAGATGCTTATTAACATCATTATTAAAATTCATGATTAATTTAATTTGCGATATCTTTAGTTTGCTTCAGTTTATAATTGCGTTTCAAATTTGACATAAATAATCGAATCGACGCGTTTATAGAACTGAAAAAAAATGTATTTGCAAACGTTTGCATATTAGTATTAGTAAACATTAAAATCTGCTTTGGCCGAAAATAGGATTACACAGGCCCGCAAAAAAAAAAGTACCCTGTGCTGGAGTATTTTCGAAAAAATGAGTCAAAAATGGGAAAAATGGGTCATTTTTTCGCTCTAGATTGAAAAATTTCTCTGGATGGTCCTATTTTAATGTCAGATTCATATTCAGCGACTCAAAATACATAAGAATAGCTGGGTCTCTATCCCAGCACAGAGTACTTTTTTTTGTGGACCTATATTATTTCTCTTAATCGATTTATTCTTGTTGGTCTAATTTTGAATAGTAATTCTTAAAATTTTAAGTTCGCCGCAATTTTAGGTATTGGTTTTCAATCTTTAAGAAACGAGTAATACTCACTTTATGTCACCATTGCCGAAAAGTTCAAAATTGTCGATTTTGCCTTTCATGTCGTATTTAGTATTCGCGGTGACTAATGGCCACGAAAGATGAAGCGATATTACAATGTCTTCGGACATGTTTAAATCCCCATTGATGACATCAAATCCAGATAAACCGTTTGCATTGCACATGCTCAAATTCGCATTCAATCTGAAAATATACAAAAAATATAAAAAATTTATAATGTTAAAAGGTATAAAAAAATTGATAAATTTAATTCCGCGATAAACACATTTTGTTTTTTTTTTTTGTTTAAGTAAAATGATAAAAAACGTATTTGTCAAAAATATTAAACCTTACAGTTTTACTAAAAAGATAAACGAGAGTTATAGATTTGTGGCTACATATATTGTGACGTGACATTTTGTCCGTCACTGTGCAGATTTGTCGACGGAGGACTCGTGCTTCCTATCGGTTTGGAGGGCGAGCGTGCAGGCGAGTGCGCACGCGATCGCGCGTGCGAGCGCACCCGCGAATGTGCGTTAAAATCGCGTCATCTAATTTACTCTATAAATTTTCCTCTCTTTGTATTATGGGCCTTCTACAATAAACCGCAAGTCAGAAGTTCTAAGCGATCTTAAGTCATAATCGGTGAAGTTGGTCAATAACCAACTTGAACAACTTGGTTAAGACTGGTTAAGACTAATTCTGACGTTCTGACTTGCAGCTTATTGTAGAAGGCCCATTAGCCTTTCTTTTGCGTAATAATGGAGTTTATCAGAAAGCGTGGACGCGCCACGGATCACGCTCGGCAGCTGCTGTAAAATAATATTGTATTACCGTGCCGTCTCACTCGTCACCCTTGGAAGGAAGACAGAAGAAGCTGAGAGAGAAGAATGCACATCCGGGAGCCCGGATAAGCAGGTTGTATTATTTTATATCATTGCTCGTAACCGCTGTCGCATACGAAAGGAACCATACTTTCACCATGCACCCCTTGCAGAGCACCGGAGGAGGTCAGAATTCCCGGCCACCCTTGAGGGGCCGGACGGACGTCCGTCGGGAGCATAGGGCCCCGAGGAGGAGCGAGAAGGGAATCCATCCAGATCTCCCACGCCAGGCCAAGAGATGCAGGGGCCGTTAGCAGGGATGCCACCCTTGACAGGGACGTTTATTGCACGCTCGTAGGAGCGAGGAATCAAGGCCGCGCGGGCCTACACGCGCGAATATCGTGACATGCGGAAGCCAATCAGCGTGACTACCTCCCCCCGAAGGAGGGGGGAGCTAAGCAGCCTGCGAGAATCCGCCGGGAACTTCCGGGATTCACTCTTACTGTGGCCGAGCCTAGGAAATGTAAGGGAAGTACGAGGCCGCGCTGCCGACGGGGAATGCGAACCTGAGAGCCGGACTGCCGAGAGCTGCGAGGAAGAGAATGTCGAAAGGACACGCGAGGACCAGGACGTCGAGGGTGAGGCGAGCGTTGCGCATGTAAAGCTGCCGACCGGGATACGCCGGGTGGATCGCACGTAAGCAAGCTCGCATTGTGAAGATAGATTGGCGTAATGGCCGCCGTGTAGAGTCGCGGAATCGCGAGCCACGTGCCATCCTCCCGAGCAGTGGAAATGTTTAGTTGTCGCGTTTCGAGAGTCGAGTCGAGGGGAGATCTTTGGCTGTCGCATTTGGAGAATTAGAGTCGTGTAGAGATTATCGAGGGCCGAGTCGCGATCGCTCCCCCTGGCCACAGATGAGTCATTAGTTGTAAGTTTTCGTGTTGTCGCGTATTGTCGTGAATTGTCGTGTCGCATAAAGATACTTATTGTAGTCGCGTTATCGGTTAGTATTGCGTCGCGTCGGACGCTCACTGTAATTGTGTTACCGAGCATTGTACTGTCGCGTCGGAACGCGTATTGTTGCGTTGCCGAGTTAACTTCCGGTTGTGGTGTTACCGAGTAGAGTCCGTTTCCGGGATTCGTGTTGTCGAGTAGAGTCGTGTCGCATAGAGACGTTCGCTATAATCGCACCATCGCCGTGGTGTCGGCCGTGGGCCGACGTTGCACGTCCGGAAGGCTGATAGTACAGCGGGTACGGGTTCTTGCCGGTTATCGAGGGGCAGGCGTTTGACACCGTCGGAAGATGCCGCCGGGAAGGTCGGAGCTCGTGCTGTAGTGTATGATCGGCGTCCGGCGTGAAAAGTAAGTTAGCGGCTCTCTGTGCGAGTACCGAGAGTATCGAGTAGAGCGGAGGGGCGAAGCTCCGGAAATTATTTGTAATTACGTCACCAATGTAATTAATCCTACTTTATCATATTTCTTCAAATATAATTGTTTTTATTATTACATCCTCGCTTACGTTATTCCTGTAGCCTATCTCTCTCGTCCTCCGACAAATTTTCCACACCTCTTGCGTCGCGAATTGGTTACGGGCAAAAGTAAGGAGATTTCGAAAAGAGTGGCACGCTCTCTCGTGCCTGGCGCCCAACTCCGTAATAAAAATTACGATCTTGGCCGACCATCCGCCTAACTGTCGCAAAATTTGGTTACCGAGAGGAAAGAGATACTTTTGTGTAAGAGGAGAACGAGGAACACGCGACGAAGTTGTACCGTTGCTCGCTAGTACCGTTACAATATATATAAATGAGCAAAATAAATTCAAATGAAAAAATACGATAAAGCAATACTTGGTTTTGTGGCTTTCTTTGTTCATGTCATAGATATTATGTAATTAAAAATTGTAATAAAAAATTGAACGGCACGCACTTTATTTCGTCCTCATTAACATTAATCGCAAGCTGGTCCGCTTTGAATGGATCAAGAATCGGAATTCCAAGTTTCTCACTTCCTGTCTTCATAGTATCTTTTAACTTCTCGAGAGCATCTTGTATCAACGAATTTTCAAACGGCTCTGCTAAGGAAAAATAAAATTTATATACATTTTGCAGATAAAATTTATTCGTTATTAGTTTACGCAAATAAATGCAAGGGTTTATATTTTTAATAAAATATTATTATTAAAGGGAGAAATATCTCGTATTTTTGAAAAAATACGTGAATAAAAAAATAGTCTTAAAAATTATTAATATTAATTATATTCTTAATAATGTATTAATAATAAAAGCGTAAAATCGTAAAAATTATAATAAAATAAAAGAATAATTTATTCGTGATAATAATCTGATAATACGATAAATAGATTATTAAAAAATACGCAATTAAGATCTTTTTATTAAAAATATCTTTCAAGAGAAGTATTTAAAAAAACAACTGAATGTTTAAAAACAAATAATTTAACTGCAGTTTGAAGAATAGACAATATAAAAATAGACATGAAATGCTATTTTCTGAAATAAATTTATCTGTGAATTTTTAGCCTACCCGACTCATAGTCGGAAATATAAAATCATATTTTCTATATTTTATCCAATTGAAATAAACATTATACAGCCCGAAAAATTTTTAATGTCCTGATTTTAAAGATTCTAAAAATGTCCTTTTGAAAATGATTCTTAAAAAAGTTGTGCATCACTGGCTTGGAGAAATGTATCTCTAGAGAAATATACGAGAAAAACAAGGGAATTATAGAAGAAAACGTAGATATCTGCTTACCGTTTATTCTCATTGCCCTTGCATTGTAACAGATCAGGATGAGCCCGAACACTACCTGCAGCTTCATTTTTCTGCGTAAAGTAGAAAATATGGTCTATTTATTATTAGTTACGCTGTCACAGTACCTATCAGCCTTAAAGCTAACGAATTCCCGTTATTATTATTGGTCAATGTTGTTATCATAAAAGGACATCGCAATCGAATATATTTTCGCATCTTTCCGCGACACGGATATTTAAAAGATATGGAAGCCGAAGAAAATTTATAATTTTATTTAAATTTAGTTAAATAAATTAGTTGACTCGTCACTTGCGATTAGTATCTATTTGTGCTTGAAATTGTATATTTTTTATTATCTGTGAAAACTTTGTGACCCTCAAGGCCTAGAACGATTATGTATTGTTTACGTACGGCTCGTCGTAAGTTGATTTACACCAGTATTCTGACAACCGTCCGACTTTGCGTTTGTTTAGACAGCACAAACAAAACTGCGAGCTGAAGAAAATGTGGACGTATTTATAGGCACAATTCGCTGATATCGAATCAAGATTTCTTATTGATTACGCATATCGTACAATGATTCGATCTTTGTACAGTTAAGGAATTTGATTTCGTACGAAAAACATGCAAAGTTTAATGTATTTTTCGTTTTTCTTTTATTGAAAAATTCCATTGAGTCTTCTTGAAAACATCGAAGTAATTGTTAATGACAGTTTTTTTACGTTGCGTCGTGTATATGTATAGGAAGCGCAATTAACTGCAATTATGTTATTACGATTAATTTTATTTTGGTGTAATGGGTTTGTTTTCTTATAATGAGTCTTCTATCTCTTATCAAAACCAAAGATTAAACTGAAGATTAGATTATAAATCAGCTTGTTATGCTGCAACTTGTCTAACAATTAAGTGATGTATATAAAGATAATGCACGGTCTTGACAGGAATTAAAATACTGTATGAATTTTTTTTAACCAGTACAATGTGATTTTCTTCATATTTAATACGCTAAAAAAAGATTTTTATAATATTTATATAAATGCAAGTATAACTGTTTAATAAGATACTTAATAAATATTTAAGAAAGTAAAAAATTATTTAGTTATTTAGTTATTTAGTTATATTAATCAAATATTTAATTAGCATTATTTCATTAAATATTTGGTAGCTATTACTAAACCTTTTTTATGTAAAAGAATATTTTGTATCTTTATAATATTTTTTTATTTTACAATTAAAATTTTTTATGAGCAATGATATTTAATTTATTTGATTTAATAGTATCGAATATTTGACACATTTGTATAAAAATATAAAAGTCAAAATTACATTTCTGCTAAAGAATAGAGTTTGAGTATTCGCTAAACTAAATGAAAAAGATATACTGTGTGTGTGTGTAGGTCTATTCTATGTCGGTAAAAATTAATATCGCACATAAACAATATTACAGATAACATTATGAATTTGTAATATTATTTAACTGCAAAAATATATATTTATATAACAAAATATAGATTTTTATAATATAATAAATATTATTTTATGCAACAGACAGATATATACAATTAAAGTAAGTAAATAATTCAATTTTAATACGTATTGCAGCGACATTTTAATATAAGATAGCACGATAAAATGAAGAGTTGCCACAATACGCATATAACAAAAAAGATTAGATTAATTGAATCTTAAATTCTTTCTCGTTTTCCCTCAATTGTAGATTTATCGAGTTATCTTTTTTTCTGATAAACGCGATATTATACGAACGTATAGTATCCTTTCAAAGTATATTTCAACGTATATTTTCAAAGTCTGTTCATTACCATATGCAAGACAAAAAATATATTTGCACATTTATTTTTTAGGAATAATTTCATATGAAATATATAATGTGTGTGTGTGTGTGTGTGTGTGTTTGTGTGTGTGTGTGTGTGTGTGTGTGTGTGTGTGTGTGTGTGTGTGTGTGTGTGTGTGTGTGTGAGGCATATTTTTTTTCTCTTTCATATTTTACCATACATGGTAAAAAACATTTTATGTTTATGTTAATCTATTCAAGTTCTTGTTAAAATTTCGTGTTGAATTTTTAACATATTCAAAGATTAATTTAACATAATGTGATTATGTTTAATTTAAATATTTTGTATATTAAAATGATATTTGACATTTCTTAGTGTCAAAGTAACATAATTTATGTGTTACTTAAATGAGTAAATAATATAAAAATAACTAATAATATTTAAAAGATAAAGTCTAAGATTAATGAATAAAATACGTGTTATTTAATATATCATAAATGTTAATTTTATTTTTAAAAATGTTCTTACAGTTTGTTTATAAATTATGTTAGTATTACCTTATTTTTAATTTAATGTTATGTTACTTTTAATTGGTATCGATTTTCTATTTTTAATATTAGTATGAAAATAACATAGGATAAAATTTATTAAAAAAGCGAAAATTTTATTATAAAGGAATGAAATCTTTTCATGCTTGCGATTTTTATACTTTTTTATTAGTACACTGCAGAAATAAATTTAATACAAAATGAGCTTTGTTAAAAATTTTCTGTCTTTTACGACGTGACCAACAAATCTTTAAGTGCATTATCACGTATTTGTATCGTTCAATTGGGATTGATCGTTGTAGAATGATTGAACGATAGGGTGGCGCCATCATGGTAGAAAAGTATTACTAACCTATTGCTTTCAATAAGTCTGGAAATGTTATAGTTGACAGAAAGTTGTTGAAAAGCCGCTTGACAATGTTTTGAATCATATACGCAACATCGTCTTTTATATACATCTTTTAGTTCGCAACGATGAGTTTAAATGTAACATCGGAGATCGTCTTGCTGAATATCTTGGGCATGTCCTCATCGTTGTAGAAGCCCGTTGCATTAAACTGCGAGCGATATAGGAAAGAAAATTTTATTAGAAATCAGAAAAAGTAAAAATGGTCAGTAACAGAAAATTAATTGTTTTTTTTTATTCCATATAATCGAATTCATTGAGAAACGTTTGAGAGAGTTACGATTTGAATCAACTTCTCTACGGAGCCGTTGCATGTAAAATGTCGAACTCCTATAATTTCAGCATATTTATGATTTTTTTCAAGTAAAATAGATTCATTAAAATCTATTAGAGAAAATTAAATCAATGTTTTATGGAGACTTCATGATTAGACCAATCGACTTTTCATAGTCAACTTATTTCTTTTTTTCTATTTGCTTAATTCTTTTACAATTTACGTTATTTTATATATATTTTCATATATATTGTTCATATAAATATATGCTTGTTAGTCAAAAAGTTTCTGAGGAGCTCGGTAATAATTTTTTTTCAGCAAAATGAGATGTAGATTTTTCGAGTCTTTTTTATAATAGTAGTTTGTAGAAGATCGATATCTCTGCTAGCAGCAGTGTGACTGGGTCGCCTTTTTATATATGCAAATTGAAAGGCAAGAAACGTGGTAGTGTTAATTTGATATATCGTACAAGTAACAATTTTCTCGCATAATAACTAATGTAATCAAGAAATTAACATGTACTATTTAACGTATTAAAAAAATTAATAAATTTTTCTTCAAAATTTTGAAAAATTAAATATGCATGACATTGTAGAGAAAACTTGTAATATGAGCTTACATTTACATGAGAAAAATGGTCAAGAAAATCCATTATCTGAAATATAAAGTGATAAAACGGTATTTGATTTTCATCATTTTTCTTTTAACTTCTTACATTTAATTTGAATTATTATTTATTTTGAAGGCAATATGAAAATCGTTAATGGAGTTTTGAAAATTATATGCATATTTTGTTTTTCAAAAAGTTATCTAATGTTAACGTAAAGTCACTTATTTTATATTTGATATTATTTTTGCATTAGCCTGATCGCTTATAGATGCGAGTCCTGAGGATCACAATTGCAAAAACCAGAAAAGAACTGTAACTTAATTACTTATGTTCAATGCTTCCAAGAAAATCTTTGTTGCTATAGTTTGAACTTGCATATACCGGTCCTTCAGGTTAAAACCAACATCCATAATAGTTCTGAAGTTTTACAGGATTCCACTAAAAATTAAATATATCTCTGTAGCTTTAAAGACTTTATGATCTCAAATTTTTACTTTAAAAAATTATCGAAATGCATAGAAATAAAGTGTATAGATATAAAAATAGATAAAATGTAAATATAAATAAAGTAGAAAGAAATATTATAAAATGTGTCTTGCACTGAAAAAAATGCCTGATTACAGCCACCAAATATTAAATGAAATAATTTTAAATAAATATTGAGGTAATAACTAAACATAATTTTACCTTTACAAATTATTATTTCACTCAATATTTGATAACTATAACTAGACTCTTTTTTACAGTATGTAATTTTGAAGGAAAGAACTTAATTATAAAGGAATAGTATTTATTAACAAAAAATTATTAATTATTATATATTTTAAATAAACGCCGTCAAAAAGATCTTCTTTTCTAATGTTGTGTGCTTTAAAAAGATTCATTTAAATATAAATTTATCATTTAATTTAATAATGGAACGATAAATTATCTTAAATCTAAAAAAAAGTCCCGTTAAAATTTCCATCAAAGCAATCTCAATTGAGTTTCGCATTTGCTAAAGGCGAGCTTGACCACCGACCGTAAGAAAGCTCAACGCGTGATCGCGGATCGGCGCGATCGCGTGTTTCACGCGAAACATATAAATTCAGTCACGATTTAATAACGCGCTTTGTCGCAGTTGGCGTCGCCTGATAAAGTCGCGTAAGCGCTGAATGAAAAACGGCTAACTCATTGTCAGTCATTCCAGCTCCCGTTTTTTTTTTCACGTACATATTTCAAGCATTGTAGTTAAATATAGATGAAGCGAAATGAAAAACGAGCGTCCTTTACGAGGAAAGCCAGCGATCTTTCTCATTGCAATAATGATGATAATAATGATCAATTATAATTATGATAATGATAATAAACAATTATTTATTTTAATTACGATAAAGGTGTAATCACAATATATTGTTATGATAATAATAATTGAAATTAATACACATTCGCTAAAGATTTAAATTTTTCTATCTCTTTTACTGACAAATAATAAAATGCAAAAATTGGCAGCAAGATTCTTTTTCGTGTGCCATAGATATTAGAAAATCGCGATCGAAATATGATAATTAAATTCTCTCAAAAGGAACAAATACTTACTTTATATCTCCATCTCCATAATTATCGTAGTTAAGAGCGTTGCCTTTCAAGGAGTAATTAGTACTCGCGGTTATCAACAGCCAACTTAGATCTGTGTAGGCATTCAAATCAATTGGTTTGAATTTAGCGCTGTTGACATTATACGAGGCCAAACCACTCACGTTAAAGTTTTCAAGAAGTCCCTCGAGGCTGAAGGCACGAAGAAAAAAATTAAAAATTTGCCAGTTGTCATTAATAAACTTCTTTTTGTACTTCGTCTAATAACGAATCATTTA